TGATACAACTGGAATTTGTTCCTACAACATAATTGTACTGAGGTTGGAACACAGTGCAAATGTTACTGCTTCCTATTAAAGTCTATACTATTTCTTTTATTGTGTTATCTGACCAAGAGTAGCTGACAGAACAAATGGGCTCACAATTTTTTTTGATTAAAATATTCCTTTTTGTCAATATGTGGTAGATATAAAAAAGTTAGACACAAAAATGCTGAACATTGCAGTGCTCAATGTTTAAGTATCTGATTCCTTAAAATCAAATCTAGGACCCTAAGCTAGGCACATATGTTCTCTGCATGGAAAGAGTTAGGCATCTGATAGCGGATTCGAAAGTAGCCAGCACATTAAGCAGGAAGCCACCTAGTGGTGCAGAGACAGACAAAACAGGAATAGGCTTCTCTTAAATCACACCCTGTTCTGGGGTTTTAGCAACCTTTTCTGAGTTTTCATAAAGTCTTACCACTCTTCAACTTGGAAACTTTTACTGATGTTTTACACTTCTTCTTTTCAGAAATCAAGTAAAGATGTTTTCTTCTCTCTCTCTCTCTCTCTCTCTCTTTTGCAGGAGATAGGTGGTTGCCAGTACTCTTCCTCTGTCCAGTAGCTCAGTTATAATATTTGCCCAGGAGGAGGAAACCCAGATTCATTTCTCTTCCCTCTTAGGAGGGTTCAAAACCATACTTATCTCTTCCCTGAAAAGTGCCATAGATACCAAGTTATATATTATTATTGGTGGAAAGTGTCTCAGTCTTTCCTTTTGAAGCTATTACATTTTTTTTCCAAAAAGAGTGTGAGACTCCTTTGATGAGGAAGTGAGCGATGGAGACAACATGGCTTGCTAGTATTGTGACTAGGATGCTGATCAGGTTGGGTTCTAGTCTCTGATCAAAGGACTTTTTACATCTATTACACTAAACTTTCATTGGATTAAATTTATAAACAGTCTCTGGAGCAAACGCTGGAATCTAGGACTCTACCATCCCTGATGGATTCTCTAACCATTAACCTACAGAATCATGTCAGTCTTTTTCCTGCTATCTGACTGTTGAATTTTGAATCATTTTCTACAAGATGGAACTATTTCATTAAGAGAGGTAGAGTGTACTCCTGTCTACTCTGTAGAATAATATTAAAAACTAGTATGCAACCTGTTTTGGACTTCTGCTCTCCTTAAGACTCAGTTAGATACCAAAATTCATTTTTATATAAAGCTCCAAGTCCATAAGTCCATACTTTGGTATCATCTTTATATTAGTTTGTGTTAGTTGAGTTGCATCATCCTTGGAGCAATAGCATTTGTCTTCAGAACTATCAGGAGCAGGTTGTAGTCCTCTGCATACAGGGTGGTAAAGCTTATTTTGTCTTGCACCACTCTATAAAACATCAATTTAGATTTCACAGAGCAAAATGCCTACTCTGCCTTACATTCCAGTGTTGTAACAAATTATTTGGACTAGAGTAGATTACCAGCTTAGAAAGTGGGATATGATGGGCTAGCAGAAATCACTGCATCCAATCAGTGCATTTACATTTAGGGGTATGCACTATCACAGTTATGTTAGTATAGCTGTACAAACAACTTCATCCACTCACAGCTGGGTGAAGGCCTGAGCAAGCCTGAGTAAAGAATAAAAGAAGCTATGACTCTGCGACCCCAGAGTGAGTAGTCCTGTAGTGTCTGAGGCTAACTGTGCAAAGGGTTTACTTATATTGCAATTACTACAATGTTTTGTACACCCACTAATGTTGACTTGGGCACTGCCAACAGTAGAGACACAGTATCACAGAGACCACAACAGGACAGGCTACACCACTTATTTACAAATGTTCTCTGGTGAGTGTTCAACTCAACTAATTTAAACTGGTACATGAACTGCACTCATACTTCTGACTATAGTGTAGATGTACCTTGATTTGGTGTTATTTAACTTGGGTTACCTGGTTGCAGAACTAGGCCTTAAGTACTTAGTAGTTAGAGTTTTAAAAATCCATCTGTATTGTAATTCCACTAGCACAATGTTAAAATATATATAAAAGGAATTGGACTAAAAGTGTAAGCGTATGCTGCAAATATCCCATCCAAGAACAGACTAGTCTTAGGTAGATATTTATTCTATACAAGGCCATGACCTTTATGATACACATGTTTAAACTTAACTTAAATTAACATAATTAATTATGGTGGCACAACAGCCCACATATGCAAATATAGAACCAACTTCAAGGAAAAGGTAGGAAGGAGAATGCTGTTGAAGTTAATGTATGTAGGAAAATAATAGGTTCATTTCTTGGCTGTGTCAAAGAATTCCTGAGAGACCTAGAGCAAGTCCCTTAATCTCTCTGTGCCAACTGTAAAAGGGAGGATAACTATGCCTTTTGTTCCATGCTTTGCCTGTCTGGTCTCTTTGGATGTCTGAACAATACAATATTCTTTTTGGGTTTATCCTATCATAAAGGAGGCCCCACCTTGGTTGCATCTCTAGGTGCTACAATAATATAAACGAGCAAAATTCTAAAACTTAGCAAATGGCTTTCCTTCTCTTTCCCCTTTAGACTGCAAGGCCCAAACCACTGTGACCAGAAAGGTGGGAATCTCTGTGAAGATCCTGAGGAACAAAGTGGCAGCTTGTCCTTCATGCTTTGACAGCAGGTCATTGTCTCCTCCCTCTCATTTGTTTCATATTTATTTATTTATTTAATATCTCATTAATGTTCAGCTTCTCTGGTTGCCTTTTGATTGTTTCTACGGTGCCTGAACAATTTTAATAACACTAGGGTGAAGATGCTAAAGAGGCTGTATTTTTAAGAGGGTGACAAAACATGTTCCCCTTCGTTCTCTTACTTCACATCTCAGTCTGCGTTGCACCAGGCTGTTCAATTTCAGTGATCTTTGCACGTGTCATTACTCAAGGTAGTTGTGTCACCCTGCTGCTATCAACACAGAGTAAGTTCCCTGTCCCTATTGCCTCCACACTTCTCTCTCCTCAGTTCCAGAGATTTCCTGCTGGCTTTCTTCCATCTTCCTGCACCTCTGTACCTCTCCACAGCTGCAATCTTTTATCAGGAGAAGGGTCTCAGTTTAATGAGACCCTCTCCCCCCCACACACACACTGACACGAACAGAGAGACAAAGTCAAAGAAACTGATATGAGAAATGAATTAATGTGTCCCATTGTGGCACCACGTTTCCCTTCCCTCTTTTCCCCCCTTAATGAAACCACTAATACGTTTGTTGTGTTTTCTGTCTCAGTGGCATTTTATCTCCCCTGCCCTGCTTGTTATTTATTTGCCAGACTCCTTTTTGGGCCAGGATTTCATTTTATTTTAGGCTTCCCCCCTCCA